TGCCTCCCGAGTGCTGGGATTAAAGGCATGCACCACCACTGCCCGGCTTTTTTGTTTTTGTTTTCAGTGTTAGATCTCTTGTATCAAGTGTATGAGGCCCTTACTTCAATTCCTGATGCACAGTACTATATAATAAAAACTGCAGCCATAAGAGTTAAAATAGAAAGGTGGTCAGAGAACCATAGTTTAAACGTCTAGTTCCTACAAGGTCCCACACAGTGAAATGTGAGAGACAACCACAGACACCTCATTTCTTTCTTTAAAATATTGATTTATTTTATGTATATGTGTGACTGAGTGTGTGTGTATGTTGTATGTGTGCCAGCTGTCTTCAGGAGTGTGTGTGTGTGTGTGTGTGTGATGTATGTGCACCAGCTGTCTTCAGGAGTGTGAGTGTGTCAGAAGAAGATGCCAGATGCCCTTCAACTGTAGTTACAAGCACTGTGAGCCACCATGTGGGTGCTGGGAGCCCAACCAGGATCCTCTGCAAGAGCAATAAATGCTGCTAACTGCTGAGCCATCTTCCCAGGCACTCATTTTTTTAAAACAACTTATTTACTTTATGTATTTAAGTGTTTTGGGTTTGGGGGAGGAGGATTTTGTTGTTTTCGGTTTTTTTGGTTTTTTTGGTTTTGGTTTTTCGAGACAGGGTTTCTCTGTGTAGCTTTGGAGGTTTTTGTTTGTTTTAAGGCCGGGTTTGTCTATGTAGCCCTGGCTATCCTGGAACTAACTCTATAAACCAAGCTGGCCTAGAACTCAGAGATCCACCTGTCTCTGCCTCCCAAGTGCTGGGATTACAGGAGACCACCACCATGCCTGGCTGTTTGAGTGTTTCGCCTGCATGTACGTATGTGCACTATGTGTGTGACTGGTAGCTGTGGAAGTCACAAGAGGGTATCAGGTCCCCTGGAACTGGAGTTATGGATGGTTATGAGCCACCATGTGGGTTCTAGAAACCGAATTTGGGTCCTTTGCAAGAGCATCAAGTGCTCTTAACCCCTGAACCATATCTCCAGCCTCAGATAACCTATTTCTTTTTGTAACCTCTGTGGATTGAACATAGTTGATTTTGTCATCAAGAAAGAAGACAAATCACTGATGTGAGGCAATGTGCCAGCAGCTAAGAACACTTAACCATCTCAAGTATTCAGGAGGGGGTGGAGGGAAGTGTTTGCCACCATCCAGCGGCCTACTGTTTGCTGTAGTGGTCAGGGTTTCTATCCTAGTGGTTCTCAACCTGTGTGTGTCCCAAATTAGATATCCTGCATGACAACAGTAGCAAAATGACAGTTATGAAATAGCAATGAAAAAAATTTTGTTGTGGGGGTCACCACAACATAAGGTGTTCCAGACCAGCCAGGGCTACACAGAAACCCTTCCCCAAAAAGAAAGGCCATTCTTTACATTATTTTCTTTCTTTCTTCCTTTTTTGGAGACAGGGTTGCTCTATGTAGCCCTGGCTATCCTGGCACTCGTTCTCTAGACCAGGCTGGTCTCGAACTCACAGAAATCCACCTGCCTCTGCCTCCTGAGTGCTGGGAATAAAGGCGTGCGCCACCACCACCCGGCGAGAAACCTTATCTTGAAAAACCATTTTTTTAAAAGAACATTTCAGGTCCAATATTTACAGTTTAATATTTGGTTTCCAGAGCGAGTGCTAGGATAGGCTTCACTTTTATGTAACTTGACAACTTGTTGGGTCCTACCTCATCACTTGTGCTCATTCTAAAATAAATTCTGTGGGGATTTGGAGATGTACTTTGGTGGTACTTGCCCTCTATGCACGGGGCCGTAGGTTCAATCCTCAGCAACAACAGAAAAAAATGGAAAGCCGAGCATGGTGGCCCATGACTCCTGTGTTCAGTAGAGCACATTTACAATTGACTAGAGTCCACTCATAGATGAATAGATAAAGAAAATGTGGTACATCTGCATAATGGAATAGAATCCAGCAATAAAACACTACCATTTGCAGCAACATGAACGGCACTAAAGGACATTATGGTAAATAAAATAGGTCAAGCATAGAAAGACAAATATTGCATACTCCCATTAATATAGAGGCTAAAAGTAGACATCCTGGAGTAGAAGGGCTGTGGCTATGCCAGCCTGGGCTAGGGTGGGAGTTTGAAGAGAAGTTACTCCAATTACTCCAATCAGATCATTAAAGTGTGCTGTATACATACTCTGAAATTTTATGTTGGACTCCATAAATATGTGCACTAATTGTCAATTAAAATATGAGAATGTATGTTTTCAACAGTATGGTTTGCGGGTACAAGGCAAAGGCAAAGGTAAACAATTTCATTGTGTGTGTGTGTGTGTGTGTGTGTGTGTGTGTGTGTGTTGCTGAAGATCAAATGCAGGACCATGCATACACTAAGCAAGCGCTCTACCACTTAGGTCTGCACCCCCCACTCAGCTTATTGAGAATGGCTCTCACTATGCAGCTCAGTTTGGCCTCAAAGCTGGCACTCCTCCTGCCTCACCCTCCTGAGTGATGGGATTACTGACATGCACCACCATACTTGACTCAATTTCAATTTTGGAGTTGCTGGTCTTTTAAAATTATTTATT